AAATAAAACTCTTACCACTTGAGCAGTACACATTATGATATTAATTTTATTATTATTTGTTATTATTTTCACTTACTTGAATTACACATATATCGTGTGTGCCAACCGCTAGAATTGTAAATGATGACAAGTTTCTAAAGATCGTCATTACAAAATGACCGAACCGAACTGAACTACATGTTACTAGTTCGGTGTGGTTTTTATAATTTGGTTTGGTTCCAAATTTCACGGACCTAAGTAGTGATTTAGTCATCGATTTACTTTTAAACCGAACCATACTAGCCCCTAACACAACTGGACTTCATTTCGTCTATAGAAAGTGACAAGAAATGCAATTTTAGTAAGCAAATTATTCTGTCCTAAGTTTTGCACCTTCTTTCAGATGCCAACCTTTCGAGGTCAACTCTTTGTGATGATTTGTTTGTATAGTCTAGTCCCTTTTTATATTCTTATGAACTGTTCACAATTGAATCAAGTTGTATTACTATTGGATGTTTTCGTCAACCAATTACATTTCAACGAAAGAGCTGAACTTCAATCACAAGAAACAGCAGCTAAGTTTGTTGAACTTCACGGCAATAAATGTTTTAGTTTTCTGCAGATTAGTTGGACAGTAATGTGCAAGTAATGTTTGAGATTATCACTAAATTGTTTTTTTTTTATTTTGACTTTTTAAGGTTGACACTGTTGTGCCGGCAAAAGATTTACAAAGCTCCAGTCATTCTTTATTTTTTTCAGATATATGCTTCCCTTTCATTGAAGCTTCTTCTAGGTATTGAATAAATATGCTACCCTTTCAATGAAGCTTCTTCTAGGTATTGAATAAATATGCTACCCTTTCAATGAAGCTTCTTCTAGGTATTGAATAAATATGCTACCCTTTCAATGAAGCTTCTTCTAGGTATTGAATAAATATGCTACCCTTTCAATGAAGCTTCTTCTAGGTATTAAATAATCTACTAGGTGAAACTTGACCATCAAGATTTAGATTATAGCTAATTGAACGGGTCAGCTGAGTGACATGCGTTCGAATCACATGAAGTACTTGAACCTCTTGCAGACCATTGTAGGACCTGTCCCAATAATTGGGTATAACTGTAGGACAAAGGACTCTATATGTACCTGATGACTAGACTAGACAAAGAGCCTCAAATACCTAAACAAAACAAAATTATTAACTAACATTAGGCTATAGCTAGTTTCAGTATAAAAGTTCTATAAAGTTCAAGAGCCAGCATACCATGTACTTGCTCAACTACTGGTCCCAATTGTCAATCATGGCCATCTCTTTCTACAACATTCCAACTTCATTTACATCTCCAAATGCTCATATTATTCTCTTCTCCTCCTCTTTTTTCTTCTTTCTTCTTCCCTTGGCAAGTTCAGTTTATTTCCAGATACCTCGCTTTGATCCTGATGCAACCAACATAGTCTATGAAGGAGATGCAGTACCTTCTGTTGGAGCCATTGAATTCAACAAAATCAATTATCTCTGTCGTGTTGGCTGGGCCACCTATGCAGAGAGTGTGCGGCTCTGGGACTCCAACACTGGAAAGGTCTCTGACTTCACCACCCATTTCTCCTTCATCATCAATACCCAAGGGCTTAGCAACTATGGTCACGGGATTGCATTCTTCCTTGCTCCTGTTGATTTCCATATCCCACCAAACTCGGCAGGTGGCTTCCTAGGACTGTTCAATACCACAACTAGTGATTCATCCCGGAACCAAATAGTTGTGGTCGAGTTCGATTCCTTTCCAAATCCTGAATGGGATCCTTCATATGAGCATGTTGGGATCAATAACAATTCCATTGCATCGGCCATTACCACCCCTTGGAATGCTAGCTTGCATAGTGGAGATACAGCCGATGCTTGGATTACTTACAATGCCACTACTAAGAATTTGAGTGTGTTTTGGTCCTACCAGGTAAACCCTAATTTTCAAGGGAATTCAAGTCTTTCTTATCAAATTGACCTAAAGGAGGTTCTACCAGAGTGGGTCAAGGTTGGATTTGCAGCTGCTACCGGTCGGAATGTAGAGCGTCACACGCTTGAATCATGGGAGTTTAGGTCAAGTTTGGATACAAAAGACACAAGCACAAAGATTGGGAAAAAGATTGGATTAACAGTAGGCCTAACAGTTTCAGTGGGTGTTTTGATTTTGGGGGGGATCATAACATCTATAATTTTGTGGAAAAGGAGACATAATAGAAGGGAAACAGCGGAGTCGACTAACTTGACATCGATCAATGATGATCTTGAAAGAGGTGCCGGACCAAGAAGGTTCTCTTACATAGATCTTGTTTCGGCTACTAACAACTTCTCTGGCCAAAGAAAATTGGGAGAAGGAGGATTTGGTTGCGTTTACAAGGGGTACTTTAGTGATTTAGATATGACTGTAGCTGTGAAGAAAATCTCAAGAGGGTCTAAACAAGGGAAAAAGGAGTACATAACCGAGGTGAAGACTATAAGCCAACTGAGACACCGGAATTTGGTGCAGCTCATGGGTTGGTGCCATGACAAAGGTGAGTTTCTTCTTGTCTATGAGTTTATGCCAAATGGAAGCCTTGACGCTCACCTCTTTGGCAAGAAGAGTCCTCTCACTTGGGCCTTGAGACACAAGATAGCTCTTGGTTTGGCCTCTGCATTGCTCTATCTACATGAGGAATGGGAGCAATGTGTGGTCCATCGGGATATCAAGTCGAGCAATATAATGCTAGATTCAAACTTCAATGTCAAGCTTGGAGACTTTGGCTTAGCTCGTCTTATGGACCATGAATTAGGCCCCCAAACAACCGGTTTGGCTGGAACTTTAGGCTACTTGGCACCAGAATACATAAGTACAGGCAAGGCAAGTAAAGAGTCCGATGTTTTTAGCTTCGGGGTGGTTATATTAGAAATTGCTGCTGGGAGAAAATCGGTAGATCCCAGATATGAAGAGTCTCTGACTGGGTTAGTGGAGTGGATTTGGGAGCTCTATGGAAGAGGGCAACTTCTTTCAGCTGTAGATGAGAAGATTAATATGAATTTTGAGGTGAAGCAGGCAGAGTGTTTGATGATTGTTGGCCTGTGGTGTGCTCATCCTGACCGAAGTCTGAGGCCATCAATAAGGCAAGCTATTCAAGTGCTTCATTTTGAGGCAGCAATGCCAAATCTTCCAATGAAGATGCCAGTTCCCATGTATAACCTACCTAGTACATCAACAATTAGCACTGATGGGGCCTCGATAACCTACACAAGCATGGAGATGGGTCGTTGAACCTTAGTTACACAAAGCGCGGCCGGGCCGGGGCTGGTGGCGGGAGTGTAAGTGGAAGCGGGACCAGAGGAGCAAGGGAAAATATATTTATTTATTAAATATATAAAGATATTCTAACAATTATTTTTTAAGTATAAATAAATATTATATAAATAGAAACTATTATAATAAGTTTGAGTTGTGTTTCTTTTATTTCTATGAAATTTATATGTTTGAAAGGTTTCTATATCAATTGAGAGCAAGTTTCTTTATTGACGGGAGTGAGTTTCTTACAAGTTTCTTACTTGGGAGCACGGAATCGCATTTCTTAGTAAGAAACACCACTCGAATAGAAGGTTCCTGCTACTATGCGTTCACCAAAGTTTGCCTCTGTACAAACGGTATCTCTCTTGGAACTTTATTTGTTAATACTCTTTATCATACTTTGCATGCAAGAAATGGAAATAAATTAGTGTTATTAAATGCATGCCTAGGTGTGTGCCTAGGCCCAAGTCCCATCCAGATCCAAGGTTTGCGCCTTATGGTGTTTCAGGCCAGGCAACTTCAATAAGTCGCACCTAGGCATGCGCATAGCTCCAAGTCCCGTCCAGGCCCAATGTTTGCGCCTTGTAGTGTTTCAGGCCAGGTGATTGTGATAAGGCGCCTGACTGGCCCAAGGCTTGCGTCTTGAGGACTTTTTTTATTGTTGCTTTAATTGATTTTGTTTAAAATCTGACCAATGATTTAATATGGTGCAGCTATAGAAGATCCATACTCTTATTACAGATGTCAATACATTGGGCATTCAATCCCAAATCAATGATAGAAGAAAAATTAGCCCTAATTTCTAATCTCCCAAAAACACTAAATGTTTAACATTTCATTTTGTTTATGTTGAACTCTAAATTATTTACTTATATTAAATTATATTTTTTTTCCATATAAGGTGTGCCTCACTTTGGTGAAGCATGCGCCTCGCCTTGTGCCTTGAGCCTAGGCCCCAGGACACCTTCGCATCTTGGTGCGCCTATCGCCTTTAATAACACTGAAATAAAAAATAAGAAAAAGGCTTGTATCACCAAATTCATGCCAATGGTACTAAATTGTTAATTCTTTATTAAGGTTGAGGCACCTATGCCTGAGGTAAAGAAGGCAAATAATAACAATCCAAACAAGTTTTCTAATATGGTTAGTCCTTGCACTACAAGAAATAACACATTTACCAATCAAAAAATTAGTCGCTAAAAACCCATTTTTAGTCGGCAGAAGTTATACACGACCAATTTTTTTGGTCGCTACTTTGATCGTCAATTGAGGGTCGACAAAAGTAATTTGCAACCAAAATTTTTGTTGGTCGGGAAAAGTTAGATTTGCCAACTAAATTTTTGGTCGCTAAATATATCATTACTGCGACTAATCCATTTTGTCGCTAAAACACTTTGGTCACGAAAAGTAATATTTTCCCGACCAAATATCTTAGTCGCCAATTATCACATTCCACGACCAAACAGATTAGTTGCCAAAAGTCGAGGAATTGCCGACTAACAATTTAGTCGCCAAAATGTGAGGAATTGCCAACCAATGATTTTAATCGCAAAAGTGTAGAATCTGCAGGCCAATTTTTTAGTCGCCAAATCTCTTTTTTTTTTTTTTTTTTTTTAACAATCATTTTTTGTTTATAAACATTCAATCCAATATCAAACAAAATTCATTCAATCCAACCACAATTAAGTGCCAGTCCTTTATCCTCAAAAAAAAAGTGCCAGTCCTTGACATATATGTGTAATGAATATACATAGTCACAACAGCATTGGTTTATATATCTACCTATCTATCTATATGAAGGTCCTTGAATTTCAAAGAAAGACAAAATCATCACTTTTCAAAACTGCTCCCCCATTCACACTTACTTACCTAGGTCCTTGAATTTCAGTAATACTTCATTGTACTTCAATGTAGAAAAGGACAATTTATAAACGATATAAAATTGGTACCAATTTTCAAAGTGAACAAATATTACAGGACATTAAAAAAATAAATAACTAGATACATGGATTATAATAAGCAGATCCACCCATCTTCTTTTGTGTATATGTAAACACTAGAGAATCCTTCCTAAAGTCCTCATCCAAATGACCATCAAATTCAGCCTTTTCTGGTACATACTCAACTTCAGCTTGCTCGATAACCTATTAGTACCAAAACAAACAAAAACACAAGTAAAGATCAATGAATCAAAATGATCATTTAAAATAAAAAAAGAACAAAAAAGCTGTCACACCCCAAATCCGGGTATGACCGGCCGTGGCCCACAGGGACTCAGCCCAAGGCACACGTAAGCCTAACCACTAATCCATAATCACATTGAGCAACTATACAAAAGTCCAGTAATAAATAACCAAACTCAATCCAGTGACATGCCACAAGTATAAACGGAAAAATCAACCGTAATCAAAACCATCCAAACTTATGGGATATAAACAACCCACATATCAAAATAATCCTAAATGAATCTCAATAAAAATAAAAATAAAAAGAAATATGCACAAAACTCGACAAGCAACCTAAAACAAATTAAATAAATGCCCTAGAGGTCCATGCAATTGAGTCCCCGCTACGCCATGAATCCACTTTAAGCCCTTCTAACACCTGTAAGTGATAAAACTAAGTCAGCTGATAGCTCAGTGAGTAGCAACATGGATAGTAAATACAGTTTTGAAAACATGGTTCAATTCCAAAATAAGATATATATCACAGAAACTAGATTGGCATACAGTTTGGTAAATACAATCTGTTTCAAAAGAAGGTTCCACAGTTCAACACTTAAAATACTCATGTCTCGCAAAAACATGATAAACGCGTTTCCCCAGACTTCTTCCTATAAATTCACCAGGAATCTTCTTTGGTGCTCTATAATATGGCTGATTTTGGATTCTTTCCAAGACTTTGTAAACCGGAATTCGAAATACGGTTGTGACTGCATATGCAGCCCTCAGTCTTGTCTCTTGTTTATTGTATCCACTATTACCTCGACCTCGCTTCGGTGAGCCGTTTCTCTTCTCTTGTTTTGACGCCTTTGTCCCTTGTGTGTCCTCCTCGACTCTCGCATACTTCTCTATCTTGGCCATAAGTTCCTCTATACTTTTTGGCAGTGTTTTTGCCAGTGATTTTCAAAGCAAACAATCATTGTTCAGGCCGTTCTTCAAAGACACGACCGCTACCACTTGGTTGCACCTTGGTATTCGGTTGAATACCTCATAATACCTTTTGGCATAGGCCCTAAGGCTTTCATCCTCGCCGATTCTCAGGTCTTAGGAACATCCTTATTCCTTACCTTCAACTAGTGATAGCCTGACCT